CAGAACAGAACACTCCTTGTGCACCAATCAGAACAGAACACTCCTTGTGCACCAATCAGAACAGAACACTCCTTGTGCAGCAATGCAAAACAGTCTTTTGTGCGTCCATCAGAACAGCCCCTGTGCGTGCATCCAGCAGACAGGCCTTGTATGCCTATGATCCGAGTTCGACCTTATTTGTAGACCTGCCAGACCCTCAACGGATTTCCATTTTTCGGTATCCAATTTTTGACATGTCGCGGTGCCCATGAGGAAGTCGTTGTAGGCCTTCTGAAGGCATACTCACACTAGCACTTTTTTCCTTATTTCTGGACGGAATTGCGGCCAGATGCATACTAGTTCGGCCGTAAGTGCGGTCAGGTGCACTTAGCATAGTGGTAGTGTGAGTACGCCCTAACTCTCAAATACTGTGTTATGAAATAACTACAGCGCAGTCAGGGTTTCAAGTTTTACATGCAGTCTAGGCAAAAGGCCCGAAAATGTTGAATGCATACAAGGCAGGATTCAGGGTCCGGTACGGTCACGTGGGGGTGTGTTATGTTCGGGGGAACGACTGAAGTGCATTTAAAACTTGAAATCGACCTCGCCTTTGCACGTTTTCCCTTTCCCCAGTACAGTGTAACTCAGATATCGACTTTCACCCAAGAGCCTAGCTCAGCGGGTACACCATTCAACTATTAAATCGCAGACCGGTGTTAGAATCCAGATGATGAAACTTGATGAGTAGAACCAAATATTTCTGAATTGCCTGGGGCTGGTCAATTCAATGATCATCTCTCAAGACCGTCGCCCTTATGAAAAAAAGAAACAAAAAGATATCGACTTTCACAGTAGCTCAGGTTGATTCAATTTGTTCTAATCCTTCTCAATCTTTCCGGGTCCTCTATGAGGCCCCGTCAAATGCTCCCAGATTTGGCCACCCCACCCCTATTTTCCAACTAGTAATGAATGTGTGACCATTTCAACAAAAAAAAACCTTCTCGGCCTTTTGGATAAGATCAAGTGCACTGTATCTGTTCTGAACTTATGATCAGTTTAATATCTTATCCTTGGTCCATCGGGCCACATGATATTAAACTAATTTTTCAGGGCTATGGAGGGGTCATAGCGGTAGGCTTGCCTACTCGACCTTTCCAGCGTTGCCTTCGTATTGCACTGCAGCGAAGCGCCGTGGCGCGCCCCACTCTCTCCCGGGGGAACTTGTAAAAAGAAAAAAAAAAAAAAAAAACTTGAATCGTGACTGCGCCGTAGTTACCTCATGGGTTATCTTACACCACACATACGTCTATAATCCACAATATATCGTCAAACAGAGCGGCCAGGTAAACCGTAGGCAGAGAGGGAGAAGAGGGAGGACAACAAACGAGGGGCTGTGACAAACTGTTTCGTCCGACTTTTTTTTTTTTTTTTTTTCAGTTTCGTCGGAGTTTCACCGACTCATCAGGAGGCTGAACCCACAATATATATAATATAAATGTACATAATATTGATAATATACTAAAATGTCGCCAACCAAATATCTGGCCACAACTACGTAGTACACGGGATCACACTACCGGTTCTCTCCGAACCGGGCGTGCAAACTACCTCTCCTTCACCCAGAGTAGATGGCCAGCAGCTGGAATACCTCGTATGTGCCATTACGCTCACTAGGCAGGAACAGCACCCATCGGCAATAGCTGTAGTGATCCATAAGCAGAGATACAGTATTTGCTGAACTCGTTTTCGTTTTTTTTTCTTTTTTTTCCGTTTCTTTTTTTTTTTTTCTTTTTTTTTTTAATTTGAACCATTTCTCGATTTATGCGTGTCATCCTTGTATGCTAGTGATTAGCACCACAAAAAATGATGGTTTGACAACCGAGATGCCGACACAGACAATCCAGAAAAGAAGAAGAAGAGGAAGAGAAGAGGACAGAGAGAGTACAAGACCAGTAGCGATGTCCCCGAACGCGACTTGAATTCGAAAGAATAATCATGAAGCACATATGAGCAAAGGCAAATGATAATCTTCTCTGTATCGTTCCAATTTTACCGGATGTCCCGAAGGACTGCTGAAGTCGTTTTCTTTTTCTTTCTTTTCCTCGTTGTCTGAGGAGGAGGTAATCTTATCATTGATGTGCCCATCAGGATTTGAGCTCATGATCTGTGTACTACGGTAGCAGCTACACGTGTCCACCACTCTGTCGCAAGCCAGGTACAATATAATTCCTGCAATTCGCTAAGAGCTTGGTGATCATTTCTTTTTTTTTTTTTCTTTTTTTTTGAACTTGGTGATCATTTCACTACAACAGAATAGTAGGGAAGAAAAAAAAAGGACGACGAAACTCATTATTACTACATAAAGGCATTTTTTCGTCCATGATCCGATCTCAAGAAGAAGTGAACACGCGACTTCCCTCATGGGAGTTCCACGCTCAACCAAACGGCTAAGCTGACTGGGGTCAAAGTTAGGCCCCGAGATTGGTACTTAACCCCACTACAGCACGGTTTCCCGCGTCCCGGTGTACCCACTCACACTCAAAGTTGAGCCCCGAGATTGGTACTTCACCCCACCCAAGCACGGTTTCCCGCGTCCCGGTGTACCCAGTCACACTCACACCTGACCCGACCACACAGCCTGTCGACGCAGCCACCAATCAGTGTATGTCTCCTCGCTGCCGGTTACTTCGCTTATCAAGAATTGCATTTTTACGTCCATGATTCCATCTCAAGAATCGAGCACTCGACCTTCCTCATGGGCGTTGCACGCTCAACCGAACGTCTAAACCCGTTCTTCTTCACACCCCACAACCTTGAATGGCATCAAATGTTTTGCCGCATCGATCACTTTTTTTGGATCTTTTTTTTCCGGATCATTTCTTTCCGATCTGTCCTCGACCGTTTCTTTTCCATTTGTTTCTTTTCCATTTGTTTCTTTTCCATTTTTTTTAACTTCTTTCCGGATCATCTTGGACTTAGCCGATCATTTCTGTCACTATACATACCCAATTCGTTCAGCCCGAAATCCCTGCGCAATTCCGCAAACGGTTACTACAGAAATGACTGGGGAAAAAAAAAAAACTTGGACACTTGCATGGGAGAAGGGGCAGACGAGAGGGTGGTGGGAATTGAAGAAGAGAGGACACACAGAGCAGGAGGGATGACGAGAAACACACGGCAGGAGGGACAATTGAGAAAACAGAAGTACAACACATGATAACATAGGCGACAGACAATGGACAGGGAGCACGAGGTGAGATAACATGAACCGAAGGGGAGAGCAAACGGAAAAGGCTGCGGACGACACAGAGTTTCTGGCTTGGGAAAGGACCGACTGGGGATATGATAAAGCACATGGTAGTCCCGACTAAAAAGGGCAGGGGGGGAAGGGAGGGGACATGGCCAGGGAGAAGAAAGCTAAAACTACAGTAGCGGGGTGCACATATAAAACCGTTTTGACGTAAGGGAAGGAAGGAGTAGGTTGATCGGCGGCCGAGAGGAAAGCATAGATATGGCGAGCTTATCGAGTAAGAGCAGAGTAGAGATGGCCACAGAGAGAGAGAGAGAGAGAGAGAGAGAGAGAGAGGATAATCGGCAAAGACACGGAAGGATTCCTTCAAGACGAGATTACCACATACGGACTCCAGATTATAGCTAAGTATACCATATGACGAGCTCGTCGAAGAGGAGGGTACAGATGACGAAACCCGGGGAGAGAGAGACACAGACACAGACAGACACAGACAAACAGACAGACAAACAGACAGACAAACAGACAGAAACAGACAGACAGAGACACAGAGACACACAGACACAGAGACAGAGGGAGAGGGAATAATTGGCAGGGTGAAAGGGAGGGATTCATTGAAAAAGACAAGATTCTCACCAATCAGCATACGAATTCCAATTCTGGATAAATAGAATCGATCCAAGAACTGATGAAGTTCCGGCAGGTAGTTAAGCCCTTTCTTCTTGCTCAGTTCCAGATCTTGCTTCATGTCCCATATTCCCATCGCCATCTCCGGCATCACATTGGTATGCCGTAATTTGATCACTCGTATTAACTCCGTGAACCGTATTTCATCGCTTGTGTCAGTTGGCTCAGGGAAGCTTCGCAGATCCTGGAACGAATCGACATACCAATCTCGGACCTGGTCCACAATGGAAATGCACACAAGGGGGAAAAAAAAGAATCAAAGGGAAACGAAAAAGTCCGCAGCTCAATTCCCGAGCCCATTGCAAACAGGGTCATAAAAGACGTTTAAGGAGGAGGGGGGGGGGGGGGGGGGGGGGGGGGGGGGGGGGGGAGGGGAACTGTTACAAGCAGCGCAATTTCCAATCTAATGCCAGATCTGGTTTAACCAGAGAAAAATAAGGGGAGAGGGCAACTCCACATTCCCTCTTTTTCTCAATTAAAAAAAAGGAGGGGAGAGGGCACTTCCGCTTTCCCTCTGCCTCTCAACTCGGGAAGAAGACGAAATAGGGAGGGCCCGGAGGGGTACACGCAGCATGATGTCGAAGCCAGTCCCATGAACAAAATATATTAACAAAATATGATAATAACAACAACGTATTTATCAACGAAGGCTAATTTCACGTTCCTGTTTTTGTTTTTTTTTTTAACTCGAGAGACGGGACAGAGTTACACGCAGCGCAATTTCGAGCAAATTCCGGACATGGATTAACAAGAAAAAGATAATTTGGATTAACAAGCGGACAAAAAAAAAAAAAAAAAAGAAGAAGGAACGGTAACTCCATGTCCCCTTTTTCCTAGTCATGATAAAACCGGCAAAAAAAATTAAATGCAAAAGAAATAAATTCCGGAAAAATGGGAGAGATTCTTTCTCCACTGAGATAGGCAGACCCATCAGACACAAAATGAGAAAGCTAGCCCCCCGTCGTTGGGGTGACGTTCAAGGTCAACGAACGGATTGATAAGACAAAGGTGGATTGGCTTAAAGAGCACACGGTGACAGTGATCTTAAAAAAAAGATTAAAAATATATATCATCACAAACACAACTGCCCGGTAAACCGTAGGCAGAGAGAGAGGAGAGGACAACAAACGAGGGCTAATATTTCATTTAAAAAAAAAAAAAGAAAAAAAAAGCCAGCGGCCAACCTGGGATATGAGTGCAGCTGCAGAATGAGGGTGGCTAGATAGACAAAGAGATCCAAGGAGTCAGCGAAGAAAGGAAGAAGGGTCATTCATAGTATAGGAAAACATATTTTCGGTCCTTTTGTATCTGACAGGGAGTGGAGTGAGAGACAGCAGTAGTCAAACCAGGCCCGGGGAAAGACGGGAGAAGAGACAGTAGCAGAGGAAAAGGGCGGCGGGGAGAAGGCAAGGACGCGTCAAACTGAATAGGAAAACATATTGTCGGTCCTTTTGTATCTGACAGGGAAGCGAGTGAGAGACAGCAGTAGTCAAACCAGGCCCGGGGAAAGACGGGAGAAGAGTCAGTAGCAGAGGAAAAGGGGGGCGGGAAGAAGGCAAGGACGCGTCAAACTGAGGCGGAGGAAGTGTCGATCGAAACATCTTGAAGGGGGGAGAAAGGAGAAGAGTAGTTGGGAAGTTAAAGATGGATTTGAAGGAGCGAACTGAACTAGCAATGACGTAAGTACTACCCACCTTAAGGACAGGGGCCTTCAAGGAGAGTCCATAGGGAAGATTCTCGAGCTCCACGACGCGATGAGCCAGACGAATGGGCAATTCCTTGTGCAAAAACTGGGCAGAAATCAACAAGTTGCGTTCTGTCGGATAGCTACCAAAATCCATCATATTCTTCAAGCTCACTCCTGTCTGCTTCTTCAGCGAACACTTATGAAGATCCTCCACTATCGACCGAGGCACGCTCTCCGCGAGCCTCTTGACCGCAGTGCGCGCTGTTACCGACACCATCTTCTCTCTCTCTCTCTCTCTCTCTCTCTCTCTCTCTCTCTCTCTCTCTCTCTCTCTCTCTCTCTCTCTCTCTCTCTCTTACACCACACGCACAGAGACGCACTTTTTACACTCGAGAAACCCTCCACAATTCCAGGGCAATAACCTTACTCCCTGCAGGACTGACCTCGCGCTGTTGATGCTCGCCTGGCCTACTATCCCTCGCGTCTAGCCCGGCGCGCCCCTGTGTAGCTGGCCTCGATATCCCCTCTCCCCTCTTCCCTCTCACAATCTGGTTCTGCCCGTTCGAATCGATCGAGAGTCATCGGCAATTCCTTCGACGATCAATGCATATACGTAAACACGAGTACGTCATCACTCCAAGTAACCGCCGATAAGTGCCCACGTGTCACGAGCCCATGCAGCCTCTAGCTCCCATGGCATCCATGCAAGGTCTGTCCGCCTTCTCTACGTTCTCGCGGGCCAGCAGCAACTTCGTCGTCCTGGGAAAGATAAAGCATCCATGCGTCTACTACCTGGCTAAGCTGGCTTCCAAACACCGCACCATGCCCGTGTAAAATACTGATTAAGCCTACTCGTTAAATTCCCCTGCTTCTAGTCCGTGTCACCACTTCCCGCCGCACGCAATCCCAACCTCTCTCGCATTTCATCAATCAATCTCTGCCCATAACCCGGCCTCAACGCGCAAATAAACGCAATCACTACTACACGATCTCACAATTACACCAAGTACCCTATCGTCGACGCCATAATTAACGAAAATCGCACCCTTTCACCCTACCGTACGTCCATGCAAACGAATATATATACATATTTGTATGTATACACAAACACGGGTCCACCTCCTCCTCACAGCTCCCCAATGTAGAAATCGAAATCGCGTTGATTAGCCTGTCTACGTCTCGTCAAAGACCGTGAAATCTCTGATGTTCTCGAAATATCAAAGCCAGATTCTGTGCTTTCACGGAACGTGATCACATCCGATCGAACGGTCGACGATTACTCCCTTAGTTTTGTAAAATAGCTATGGAGCGAAGTAACGGTGAAGAAATAGTGCTGATGATGACGATGAAATTTAACCTTCGTTCCTCTGGTTGGGGTATCCTCCTCCTTTCCCCATGTGTCTGATGACACAACGCAGCCGCGCCACCATGCCAGTGCGGCGCACTGGCACGACTGGTCACCTGCTTTGATATCGTCCGACCCTTCGCCCGCTCATAACATGGCAATCAATCCAAGTACGACTCGGTGTGCCAAAGAGAAGGACCATCCCACTACGCCTCCAGCTCCTTGCCGTTATCCCCTTGCCCACCGGAACACCGACGTGGGAAGTTCTCGGCGACGGCGATGGCCACGAGCAGCAGCAGCTGTAGCAGCAACAAGCCCCCAGGAAGGCCATTCCCCAGAGACCTCTGTCTCTCTCTCTCTCTCTCTCTCTCTCTCTCTCTCTCTCTCTCTCTCTCTCTCTCTCTCTCTCTCTCTCTCTCTCTCTCTCTCTCT